TGCTAGCATCACTGCCTCAGCTCCACCTCAGATCATTAGGCAATAGATTCTCATCAGGACTGTGCAACCTAGATCCCTCACATGTGCAGTTTACAGTAGTTCGCTCCTATGACAACCTAATGCTGCTGCTGATCTGACAGGAGGCGGAGCTCAGGCACTTACACGAGTGATAGGAAGCGGCTGGAAATACAGATGAATCTTCACTCGCTAGCCCACTGCTCACCTCCTGTTGTGTGGCCTGGTTCCTAACAGGCCACGGACTGGTACCAGTCCTCAGCCCAGGGGTTGGGGACCGCAGGCCTAGGCAATGTCCATACAACCATGAACAAAATAGTCAAGGTCCTTGCAGCCCAGGTTAGTTTAATTTGTTAATAGTTACTTATTGGTGTATCAGCACTGTCCAGTGTAAATAAAATGCGAACCATTCATGTAATCTTAAATTTCTTAGTAGTCACATTAAAAAATACAAAAAGAAACAGGTATGATTAATTTTAACAGTATATTTTATTTAATATATCCAAATATTAATATTTGAATGTGTGAGAAACATAAATTATTGAGGTATTTTACATCTTTTTGTATTGTCTTTGATAGCCAATATTTATTTTACATTTACAGCACAACTCAAGTTGCACTAGCCACATTTGAAGTGCTCAATAGCCACGTGTCACTAGTGGCTACTGGATTGGGTGGCACACTCATAATCTAGAGCAGTGGTTCCAAATGCTACTGTGGCAGTGGCCACCTTCCTCACATGGAATCTTAGACTGACCCCTACTATGTAAACCAACCAGGCAGAGCTGCTCAGGAGGGAGCAGCAGAGCGATCTTAGAGGCCCAGCCGATGCACTCGCTTTGCTCCTCCCCGCCATGTCCAGGCAGCCCTGAAGGCAACTCCGTGAAAACTCTGCCCCATAGTGGTTCCCAGTCTTCGCCCATCCACAACCCATTCCGCCCTGTGAAAGAATTAGCCTTCCAGACAAACTCCATTAAGTAATCATTAATGTGTGTCCTCTTTTTCTCATTCCAGAGATACATACGGTGGCCGCTCAAAACTTCTAATCAGAATAAGATAGCAAATGAGAAAACATTGAATTGAGGGTGGGTGGGAGTGGTGGAAGTTGATATTGTCATTGGCCATATGGTAGAAAATATTGGCTTTCTATAAGGTTTTTTTTTAAGTTGAAGGTAGCTCTGATACCACCATTGCTGGATATGTGGAACCTTTATTGCAACAAGGGTTGCCAGATAAAATACTGTATTTTGAGATGCTAAATCTCACCACCTAATTCCAACCCACTCATCTTGTGCAGTGGGCTAGCAGTGGGGCACTTGGTTGAAATTAAGATCAGACAACCATCATTAGGTAAGTTAATGTCCCCTGACATCAGCCAATCAAAACAGGACAACACCAGCTTTTTAAAATTTTTTTGGAGGAGGGGCATGGTGGCTCACACCTGTAATCCTAGGACTCTGGGAGGCCGAGGCGGGAGGATTGCTTGAGCCCAGGAGTTTGAGGTTACAGTAAGCTAGCATGATGCTGGTGCACTCTACCGGGGGCAAGAGTGAGGCTGTGTTTCAAAAAAAAAGGAAAAAAAAGATTTTTGTGGGGATTAGAGAAATGATTAATGATGTCAAAAGAACAGTTTGAAAAACTATATATTTCTTTAACTGGATTTGAGATTCCCTGGGTGAATTAAGACTGACGGTTTTGAACATTCCCAGTCTTGAAATTTCATCCACACAGTATCCCTGAGATTGTATTCAAGGGATGACTGGGAGTATTTGATGAAACTTGAAGATGTCCTGAGTGTTTATGCCTGTATTTTTTTTTTTTTTTTTTTTTTTGATGCCCATGGGAACAAGAATCCTCCTGTATTCCACTTCAGCCTAGCGACTTGCCCAGGTGCAGCTTCCTGTCTCTGGTGCTCATTTCCACTTCCCCTGCTGTCCTTTCTTCACCATACTACACATGTCCTTTGCTGGTTAGTGAATCTTGGTGCTCTCTTCTGGCTTTGCAACATATAGATTACAAAATTTAGGGACAGCTTTTCTCCTGGGATATAAACTGGGTAGAAAAAAAGGGTGAATTGCATCCTTAAAACATTAGCTGTCATATTAAGCAATGAGGGTGCATGGAAGAATCAGGAAAAATTTAGCAACCTCAATGAGAATTTACCAACTAAATCGTATTTCATTCACTTTTGACTGCCCAATAATTTTAAGATGTTAAAAAGAAAAATACTGGCCGGGCGCAGTGGCTCACGCCTGTAATCCTAGCACTCTGGGAGGCCGAGGCGGGTGGATTGTTTGAGCTCAGGAGTTCGAAACCAGCCTGAGCAAGAGCGAGACCCCGTCTCTACTAAAAATAGAAAATAAATTAATCGGCCAACTAAAAATATATAGAAAAAATTAGCCGGGCATGGTGGCGCATGCCTGTAGTCCCAGCTACTCGGGAGGCTGAGGCAGGAGGATCGCTTGAGCCCAGGAGTTTGAGGTTGCTGTGAGCTAGGATGATGCCATGGCACTCTAGCCAGGGCAACACAGTGAGACTCTGTCTCAAAAAAAAAAAAAAAAATTGTTTGGAATCAAAATCCAGGCTGAGTAACCAAAGCCTCCTAACTCTCCCAAGCTGCTTCTCTCTGTGCAGAATGATGCCCATGAACAGATCCCAGGAGTAGCTCTTCATTTGTTGAATTCATCCCATGGGGGTCAGTCTGAGGGAAGGCAGATGGTGAGCTGTTCTGAATTTTAAGGGAAATGCCAAAATGCCTGTCTCTTACGTCCCAAGGTTCCTAAAGATCTTTAGAAGCAATGATAGATATAGGGTATTCAACTTTAAAACAAGAGAAAGCATACCGGAAATTAATAAACTGCCTCTTGCAGAAGATTCTGGGTACCCTAAGTGTGCAGGTTTTGCAATAAATACAGGTAGGAGATGTAAATGGCATTATTAATTTGTCACTCAAAGCTGACAGGTAGTGCCTTGGGGTATTGCCCAGGATCCGGGCCTCGGCCAAATTGTTGCTGGTCTTCTAGAAAATGTAACCAACCTTAAGGTACAAATTGTGTGATGTAACTTTGTTACTGCCTTTCATTTTTTTCTACCCTTAATTTATTTTATTTAATTGTAAAATGGCAAATTATAACTGTATATATTTATGGGGTACAAAGTGATGTTATATGTATATAATGTAGAATGATTAAATCAAGCTAATTAACATGTCCATCACCTCAAATATTCACATTTGAAATTTACTCTCTTAGCAATTTTGAACTATACAGCACATTAACTATAGTTACCGCACAATACAATTGATATCAAAAACCTTATTCCTCCTATCCAGCTGAAACTCTGTACCCTTTGACCAACAACTCCCCATTTTCCCCATTCTCCCAGCCTCAGGTAACCACCATTCTACTCTCTACTTCTATGAGTTCAATGGTTTAGATTGCACGTATAAGTGAGATCATGTGTCTACACTTAATTTCTCTTCATTAAAAAATAAAAACTTCTTCAGTTTGCATAGTGACTTTCAGGTAAAAAAAAGAAAAAGAAAAACAAAGAAAAACTTCTTGTGTTTTGAGCATTGTAGTAAGACATCTAAGCGATATTTTAGAAAAATGTAGGGTGGGAAGAGGAAAAAAGGAAGTAGGAGAATATTGATTCTTCCATCAGAGACCACAATTATGTTCCAGAACATGCAGGAAATTCTGTATGAAGCTAGAGCTAAGATAAAAATAAAGTAGTTTTGAATTTATATCTCTATAGGCAGCCCCCAACCTAAGAAGCAGTTGTGTAATAAAAGTTCATTCTCTAAGGTGTTGTGCAGAGCTCAGAATTTACTTTTCCACAGAAACAACATTATAAATGATTGAACTCACAGATCAGCCACGAAAAGTCAATATAACCACATTGTGAATGTAAAGGATAGGGCCCGTGGTTCTGTTTCAAGTTCAACTAACCACCCTTTCCAGTATTGCTCTGATCAGAAGACCTATGTCAAGTTCCAACTCACAATACCGGGCACATTTCTATGCCCATTTCTCTTACGCTCCTGCTTTAAAATTCTCAGCAAAAATGCCAGAACCTTCCTAACAGAATGAACTAGAGTCTCCTGTCTCCAAACTCTTTCCAGAATCTGTCCATTGATACCTACATGGAAGAAAACGTTCGGGTCAGTCATTCTTCGGGCGTCTGGATTAGGAGAAAGGAATATTGCCTCCATAGGAAACAGAGACTGTAGACCCCGCTGTTTGGCGGTTCATGTGTTAAGGCACATAGTGTGGTAGAAAGAGCACTGGACTATGAGTCGGCAAATCTGAATTTGAATTTTGATTCAACCATTACCTGCATAAACGTGGATGGGCAACATCACATATCTGGGTCTTAGTTTTTGTTTATTTAAAAAATAATAAATAAATAAGATGTCAAGTTTCTGAGAAGACAGCTTATAGCATTCAGGAGAATTTCAAAGGAACCTATCACCACCACAACCCCAAAATTAAGAACCACTGAACAAAATGATCTACCAAGTCCTTTGAGGCCTGGCATTTTAACTTCCAGTTCTAGTGCTATTTCTCAATTAGAGACTGTCTATTTATGATTTACTCACCAACTGAGTATTGGACCCCTCCAAATCAGCCGATATTATCCTTCACACTAGTTAAACACTAATCAGAATGATAAACGAAGGTTTTATAAGCTTTGTAAGTGATTTCTCGTTCTCTGAAAATTTTCTCTCTTGCTGTAATAAAAGATCTGTCATTTCCAACTTCTCAATTTCCAGACTGAGAGTCTACATAGATTGGACTAATGAGATAATTCCTAGGTCTTCACTTTGTCTCATAGACTTTTTTCTTTCCATATCCTCAATCAGTCCACCCTTCTGCTTCAATTTACTTGACATATTCTTTGCTCCTAAGTATTCTGGAACCAAGACAGAGGTTGAAATCTAAGGTCAATCTCATAACTTAGAATCATTTTTTTTTTTCTTTCAGGAAAAGGCGCACTGAGTTGCTTGTCCTGTGTGTGGAGTTATCACCTCATGGGAGGAATCTGTGCCTCGGACTGTCTCGTGGGGGAATACAGAGTGGGAGAGGTACTGACAGCTGGGGCAGCATGCCTTTTGCCTCTCTAGAAAGAAACATGAGCTCAGTTCCTGCTTGTCATTCTGGGCAGTCAGAAAGTCCCGAAATCCTTACACTCACTATAGTTTAGGCTTAGTATTTTAAAACCTTCTCCCTTTGCATCATGGAATAATGGCACTATACACTGTAGCCTTAACTTTAATCGAAGGGACTGAGAAGATCTAAAATAAATAATGGGGAAGTTAGGTACTGAGGACTCAGAATGAGGAGTCCCTACGTTTGTTGTTCATGGCTGTAGAAGTTTCAGTCTACATAGGAATATTATGTCAGAAATACAAACTGTCTTTTCTTATCCCTCTGCATCTAAACAAAAGGTGAATAATGTAGAAACCACACAGCTGATGTTGATCTTTCACCCTCTATCCCTTCACAGTGTATGAAGAAGGATTCAGGCTGGGCATGGTGGCTCACACCTGTAATCCCAGCACTTTGGGAGGCCAAGGTGGGAGGATTGCTTGAGGCTAGAAGTTCGAGACCAGCCTGGGCAACATAGTGCGACACCCCATCTCTACAAAAAATTAAAAAATTAGCCAGGCCTGGTGGTGTGTGCCTGTAGTCCCAGCTACTTGGGAGGCTGAAGGAGGAGGATCGCTTAAACCCAGGAGTTCAAAGTTGCAGTGAGCTATGATCAGTTCACTGCACTCCAGCCTGGGTGACAGAGTGAGATCCTGTCTCAAAAAAAAAAAAAAAAGAAAGAAAGAAAGATCCATTAGCTTGCGTAGAAGCCGTGGATTTTCTGAATCCACTAATTTCTTGACTGTGTTTTCGAACTTTAGAAAATAAATCTCTCCATGATGAAATTAACACAAACCAGCATATTCACATATGAGCTCTCTTTAAATTCTGATAACAGTCCTCATTACAGTTTGAAGAAACTGAGGCTCCAAGAGGTTAAATAATTTACTAAAGATCATATGATTATTTCCTTGTGTCTCAGGGGGAAAAAAAGATCACATGAGTAGTAACAAAGGTGAGATTGAAGCTGGGGGAGTGGATGAGATAATAGCTGAGATGCAGGATTGGATGAGACAGTAACAGCCGAGAAAGCACCTTAACAGCACCTGAAACATACTCATGAGCTGTCAGTTTGTAACCCAAACTATTCTAGAAGCCTGTTCTCCCACTATGGGTACCAGCAGATCTCAGAGGTCAGGGCCCAGCCATGGTTCCATCCAATTGCAGACAGTTGGTTCTGTCTTTCACCCAGCACAGTTAAAATGGACTCAGAACACACCACTTCTCTGCTGTCCCCCGCACGCCTCCCTCCTTATGGAGAGAAGGTGGAACGCCCATCTGGGAACTCCAGTGCCTTGTTAAACCCTCTGCACTCAAAAGGAACTTCCTGATTGTTCTTAACAGGGAAAGAAATTTAACTGCGAAAAGTGCCATGAGAGCTGCATGGAATGCAAGGGACCTGGCGCCAAGAACTGCACAGTCTGCCCCGCCAGCCTGCTGCTGCACATGGATGACAGTCGCTGCCTCCGCTGTTGCAACTCCTCGGATCCCACCCACGCCCAGGAGTGCTGTGACTGCCAGGACACCACAGGTGAGGGGAGAGCAGGAGCAGCCTGCAAAGGAAGGGCGTGCCCTTGGGAAGCTGATGGGAGCAGAGGGAGAGGAGGATGGAAAGTTGAGGAATATCAATACAGCTACCTTTCGTTGAGTGCCTGCTGTGTGCCTTCTGTACTTGAGCCTTCATGTCCATTGTCTCACTTCACAAGTAGATAATATCAATCCCATTTTACAGATGAGGAGACTGAGGCTCGACGGGTTTGATTAGCATGCCCACGTTCACACCAATATCAAAAGTCCCATTAGGAATTAGATCCTCTATTGCCTCCAACATCAGAGCTCAAGCAGAGCTAGAATTTTATCTTTATATATTTACTTTGTTCTTTTTTTCCATTCTTCCTTCCTGTAAATACAAGGAAAAGAATCAACTATCAAGGAAGCTGATGTCAATATTATCTTGATTCTGTTGAAGAGTCATTCTGTGGAAGTCATCTCAAATCCAGGCCTCCCAGTAGAGACTTATGGCATTTTAGAAACAAGCTTTTATTGAAGGATAAAAAAACAACAAAACCCCTTTTACCAATTCCCAGTCCCACAATTGTCTTCCATGTCCAACCCCATCCATGTAGGTACTTGGTTCTCATCAGCCAGAAACTTAAATAGATCCTGAATGGAGTGATCCCTTCTGAAAACAAAACATATAACCTAAAAATATACTCTCTAGTTCAGAAATAGATCATTTCCTTGGGGGCCAGATGTACCATTGTCTGACAAAAAGAGATGTCATATTTATGGGAATCTGTCCATTTGTAAGTAAAGAAAATCCCAGACCCATAACTGCTACCAGCCATTTCTTTTTCATTTTTGATCAGCCTTTCCAATTAGGTTCTAAGCACCGTCTTTCCACATACTAATTATTTCCTTCTTTCATTTTCTCACCCCCATTAGCGGCTGGTCTTTTCCAGCTCTTCATACACAACCACCCTTAGGGTCTGATTGTCTAATAACCAGGCTATATCAGCTAAGGATAATAACACTCACTACACCAATGCCTTTAAATGAAACCAGAAGTGTGTTCATGTTGGATGCAGAGTTTGTGAAAGCCTGTATCAACTAAGAACTATTTAGTCAGCTTTCCCGGTCCTTCTGTGACTCTTGAAGAGCCAACTGGGGCGACTCTGCCAAAATCCAAACAGTTTTGATTATCTGCTCCTCCTTTACTGAGATACTGTGCCCCTTCAAGGAAACCAGGTCTCAAAGGCTGACCCTCACTCTGCAGACCTAATATGGAGAATAGTAAGTAAGGAGTAATTGCATATGGCAGCCTAGTAACTGAAACAACTCCAAAAGGGCTTTTATTGATTCTAAAGCTTCAGACAGTATTTATCTCAAAGTACCACTCAGAGATTGCTTATCAATCCCTCCAGTGCTCCAATATCTCCTCCAGGAAAAATTCTGTGCTGATATTGCTAATGATGAATGCAATAATGATAGTGCAGTTACTTTAGAAGAGGCAAGTCAGTCTGATGGGTAAAATCCCATGAGAATGGAAGTTATGATAAAATAGAAAACTTGTTTAGCATTAGCAAAAATGAGAGAGAAATAAATAGTGGTGATGAATCAGATCTAGTTGGTCATTATTTAATAAGCTAATATCATTACACCTGGCAGCAGTATTATATTTATTAGCTGGGTATACCAAATGTACCTAGAATCTCTCATGAAAGTATCCTTTGAACACGGCAGGTCCAAGTGGTTCAACAAATATTTATAGAAAACCTACTGTGTATTTCAACTTGTGCATCCAACATGGCCTGATAGGTTTTTTCTCTAATTCTTTCATACTCTCTTTCACACTCCCATGTAGTGAGTTAGAAAAGAAAAGGAAAAAAATATATATATATTACCCAAACCATACCACCTGAAAAAAATGAGAGAAAAGTAAAAAAAATGAGCAAAAAGTGAGAAAAATGAGCTTATTGCTGAAGTTATGGCTGAATCTTTCCTTCTCTGACATTGTTTTGATTATTCCATGTTTCCAATCAAGACATCAAAACAGAGTTTGATGGACGACAGGGGACAGAGCTCTTGATTTTAGAAACCTTGATTGTGATAGCAGAAATCCCCCATGGCTCAAGTTGTTAGCCAGCATAAAGATAGTTATTCTTTTCCTGCTAGGCTGGGGGTACAAAACTTCAAGAAGCTGAAAAACAGTTGTCAGAGTATTTTGTCCTAGTGTCTCTAAACTGTAGCATGGTGTTAGAATTCCTAGATCTGAATTCTGATTTTTCTACAAACAAGGTCTTGTCCCTGACAGGGTGACAATTCACTTCCTCTCAGTGGGCTTTAGTTTCCTCAACTGCCAACAACAAATTTGCCTGAGTAGTTTCCAAGGCCCCACATGGCTATAAGAGTCACTGGTTTTAGAAATTGTCTGCTCCTGCCCTTGAATGGTGGGACAGTCATGTTAGAGCAGCCTGGGGAAAGGACTTAGTCTTAGAAAAAAATCAGAGTTGGGAGAGAATATAGAGCGTTTAACAATAACTAAAAACTTGGCCCAAGATGAAATATTTTCTCAGGAGAAAAACAGAAGAATCAATTGATAAGGTTTGGGCACTTGAAGACTGACCCATGAGATATGGGAATAAGGGGACTTTTTGGACCTCAGACTGACCTTCTATCCAGAAGGATTTGTTAGTTTCATCAAACATAGACTAGGACCCTTGTGGGGTACACACTGCGATTTTTGTACAGCGGCGTTCCTTCGAAGAACGTCAGAGACAGTGATTCTACCATTTCAGATTGGAAAAGTAAAGGTGAAGTTCTTTACTGCAGAAACCAATTTTCCCTATGCCATTTCTTCTCTCCTACTTTTTCTCTCTTCCCTCTTCCAACAGACGAATGTATCCTTCGAACAAGCAGGGTTGGGCCTGCAGCTGAGCTCTCCAAGACAGGTCTACTCATCACCTCCTTCATCATGCTGATGCTTCTGCTTGGGGTGGCTGTGCTCGTCGGGAGGAAATCTCGGGGCAGAGTCCAGCCAGCAGAAAAGTCCGGCTATGAAAAGCTGGCTGACCCCAGCAAGTCTTACTCCTATAAGAGCAGCTACCGAGAGAGCACCAGCTTTGAAGAGGACCAGGTGATTGAGTACAGGGACCGGGACTACGATGAGGATGATGATGATGACATCGTCTACATGGGCCAAGATGGCACCGTCTACCGGAAATTTAAGTATGGGTTGCTGGATGATGATGATGATGATGAGCTGGAATATGATGATGAGAGTTATTCCTACCAGTAAACGACCCCCACCCTGACCCCCAGCATTTCACTCGCAGGCATGCCTGTGCGCATTACACAGCAGGCTGAGGCATGAGTGTCGGTATTTGTCTTCTTAACCATGAGTCCAAACAGAATATGTAAGAAATATTTTGTTCTTCTTTTGGGTGGCTAGACTCAATTTACAGCTCTCATTCAACCATAATTGAGGAGCAAGGATAAAATTCAGAGGCATTGTCCTCAAAACAATATGTCAAGACACAAAACGCAAGAAGTGAAAACAAGTGAGATTTGTACACACTCTTTAATGTGATTAAAAAACAAAAACAGCACAGTGGATCTATAGAAATTCTGTTTCCAAACTGCATTGTGGAGATGTCTACTGCCTTCTGGTATTCTGATTTTTCTTTAATTAATTTTGGGGATAATGGGGGTATGAAAGAGTTGTTGGGCTTGGGGGGGATTTTTCTACCCCTTTAGTTGTTTGTAAGTAGAGATTTGTCTTGTGAGGGCCAAGAAAAGAGAGTTCTTCTCAGTTAAGTCCAGACCACTCCAGTTGAGCAGAAGAAACCAATCCTGCTGAGACGGCTTGGGATTTATTTAGAGTTGAAGAAAGAAAAGAGAAGTAGCATCATCACTGAGGAGCCACGAGTTCCCTGGGCTCTGGTTCCCCTGCAGTAATCCAGAGTCACCATGATATAAGGGCAGAGGAAACTCAGGGAGGAGACAGGCAGCAGCAAACTCAGTGAGAAAGAAATCACCAAGTTTCCAAGAATCACACCCTCATGACTTTCTGAGACCTTTTTTGGTAGGAAACATCAGTTAAGACATCAAGTAATAAAAGAAAAATGGTAGTGTTAACCTAACATAAAATGGGATAAAATGACAAAAACTTATCTACTCTAAAAGAAGCTTAACTAATAAATTAGAAGAGTTTTCTTTCATCGACAACCTGTCACAAAACTGTGGACTCTCCATAGAAAAATTTAGAGTCTAACATGGAAAAAATCCCAATGCGCCGCTCACCCTTCCAACACTCGTTATCACTGTGGTTTTTGTTTCTAGACATCCTAGGCTACCATTTTCCACTCCCCTGTCAGCTGCTCAGTGGGATTCATGCACCTGGGGACAGTTTTTCTGCAGATAGTAATATCAAGAAAGGAGCTGTTGCTATGCAAAATTATGCAAGCACGGCCTCACCTTGTCAAAACAGAAGTTACAGGTAGTACTCGGAGTGGAACACCAGCAAATGAAAGTGACATTTTCAGATGATGATGGTGATAATCATAGTGAAATGTATTACACACCCACGGTGTACCAGGTACTGAGCTAAATAATTCTTTCACAAAAAAAATCACTCCATTTACCCACTTAATATTTACCGTCACTCTGTGAGGTAGTTATCTTTATTTTCCTGCTTTTGTAGGAAACCTGAGGCTTTTAAGAGGTTAAGTAACTAGCCCAAGATCATGAAAAGCTAATCAAGATTCAAAGAAAAAGAAGTACCCTAAAAAATAAAATAAAATAAAATAATAAAAAAGAATGACCCCAAAGCAGGTCTTCTTCTATCTTTGCTACACTGACACAAGGTGGGAAAATGAACATCCCAAATATAACAAAGGCATGTCTATTATTTTATTCTGTAATATCAATATCTGTCTGGCAGCTCTATGATCTTTATTCATGCATTTTCTTTGTAGTTTAAACATAACGTAACACTGACATAGGAAATCTCCATGAAGAAGTCTTCAGTTTATGTTTCTTGTGTTTCTTTAGAAAAAAGTTCCTAAAACTAGAATCAGCAAACAGTCTCTGGAAAAAGCCAGATAGTAAATACCTTAGGCTTTGTGGGCCAAAAGGTCTCTGTCTTAACTACTCAGCTCTGTTTTCTTTTTTTTTCTTTTATTTCAAAATATTAGGAGGGTACAAATGCATTTGGTTACATGGATCACTTTTGCGATGCTTGAGTCAAAGCTGTAAGTGTGCCCATCACCCAGATAGTGTTATTCATTGTACCCGTTAGGTAGGTTTTCTTGCCAATCCCCTCTGCCCTCCTCCCTCAGCTCTTTCATAACATGAATGCAGCTGGAACATAATGCATGGGTGAATTGTGTTCCAATAAAACTTTATTTAAGGACACTAAAATTTGAATTTCAGATAATTTTCACAAATCATAAAATTTTATTCTTCTTTTGATTTTTTTCCAACCATTTAAAAATGTAAAAACTATTCTTAGCTCATGGCAGTACAAAAACAGGTGATAGGCCAGATTTGGGCAACAGGCTGTAGTTGGCTGACTTTGTCTTAAAAAAAAGTCTCCAGAGATCATGTATATCACATACACACATGATATACTTCCAGAAATTTTCATCACTTAAAAACTTTTTTAGAAGATATGTCCAAATGAGCTGTCCAGAGAGAGCACTTTTGTATTTTATTTTGTTTTGTTTTTGTTTTTTGTGGAGACAGGGGTCTCACTATATTGCCCAGGCTGGTCTCAAACTCCTAACCTCAAGCAATTCTCCCACCTCAGCCTCCCAAAGTGCTGGGATTACAAGCTTGAGACACCAAGCCTGACCTGATCATTTAAAATTATCTCTTCAAAATCTATTTGAAGCCCTGATAGTTCTCTTTTCAATTCTTAGAAATATATAAAAATACATATAAGATAGCTATCATATTAATGGAAGAATTTCTCATCCCTGTGATTACAGAGTTAGATTACAGAAACAAGTAATTTTGTTTATACTGTGTTGTTCATGTTCCTTGATAATTTTAAAGCTCTGACAGACTGAATTTGACATTTCTTTCTGTAGCCTGGAAATCATTTTCCAAGAAAAGAAAAATCTGTTTTTATGATACACAGTTAAAGGTTGAATGAGGTCGAGATGACCTTGAGTGCTGAGAAAAATTGTGTTGTTACTTCATGTGACCTGTAATGAAAAGAAGGCTGATGCTTGTGTATTGGTGAGATTTGACATCTTTCCTTCTTTGTTCTTAGTCATGCCACATTATTGTCAGACTGCTTTTGAATACTATGGGAACAACTGTCTAAATAGATAAATACATGGTTGGAAAACAAAGTCACCTTTGGTTTTCTGTTTGCAAATAAATTGGAAATATTAAGAGAATCCGTATAGACTGGAAATACACCAAGAGGCTGGGTAAAAGCTTAGCAGGTTCTGGTTCATAGAAAGTAATTTTAAAATTGGAAATAAAATTAAATCACAAGACCAGATAATGCTGTGGAGACTTGCTTATTAAAGAACTATTTCTGGACATATTTTATGTGGTTTATTTATGCTTTACCAGGTAAGAGACAAAATAATAAAAGAATGCTGTTTTTCTTTTTATCTGTCTGTATCCAATGACTAAGCTAGTCTTATCAATTATGAATTTTCTCTCCTAAAAAATCAATTCAATCTGTCTTTCAGCGTTATCACCACTGCCTCAATCAGGCCCTCAGTCTTTCTCATCTGCATTGATCCTTCCTCCTAAATTATTGTTGAATTTCAATCTCTTTTTCTCCCAATGTATCCTCTACCATGGCGGTCCCCAAACTATGGTGAGTTATATAATTATTTCATTATATATTACAATGTAATAATAATAGAAATAAAGTGCACAATAAATGTAATGTGCTTGAATCATCCCAAAACCATCCCCCTGCCCCCACTCCCTGGTCCATGGAAAAATTGTCTTCCATGAAAACAGTCCCTGGTGCCAAAAAAGATTGGAGACCACTGCTCTATCCTGCTATCCAAGGCATTTCTAAGGTTTATCACATCATCCCATTCCAGGTTCCCCATCACCTTACACTGCTTATGACATTCAAAACTTTGCAAGATATGGCTGCTGCCTCTGTCTGAAGATGATCACCCCCCAATTTCCTGGCCCTGACTTATTTCCCAGCTTCCTCATTATACTCCAAATAGGACTGAATTGCTTCCAGGTTCTCCAGGATAATATCCTGCTATCTCATGTCCTTGGGCACATGTTCTTTACTCTCCTTGGAATATTCTCCCACCTTGACCAGCAGGAAAATTCCTGACCTTCCTTTAAAATCATGTTCCCTTATAGCATCTCCTGGGTGGGCTTCCCTGACCTTCTTGGAGAGGATAATCACTTTCTCACATCTTTGCTCCTTAGATACTCTATGCATATGGTGTTTCACATCACCTTGTGATGTAATTATTTGATTAAATGTCTGTATCCACTAAAAGGCTGGGTACTCTTTGAGGCAGTTGTTTCCTTTCTAGAACCCAGCACAGTGCCTAGCACTTGGTAAGCAATCAAGAAATATTGAGAGAATTGAATTTTAAGAAGACAAGACTCACATATACAAAACAGTTAGACATGATATAGGCCATATATTGTGTAAGGCTGGTGGCGGGCACCCCTCCCCTCCCTAAAGAAGAAAGAGTAACCACACCTAAATGTTCACCCAGATAAGAAAAGTTTTGGTCCCTGGGGCCCACACATACCGCCAGCCCCTCCTGGAATCCACTCTTACTACCAGCCCCTGCTACTTCTCAATACCCACCCTAAAACTCTTTGCACCAGAAAAACCCCCATCCCCCAACTCTAAAACCTATATAAACCCACTCAAAACTTCCGGATGGCACGACTTCTCCGGCCTCTCTCTCTCTCTCTCCCCCCCCCCCCCTCTCTCTCCCTCCCTGTGAACCTCACCCGGGAGCGCTCTTTTTCCCCTTCCCCCAATAAAGCCTCGTTGCTTGCCCTTTTCACTCTGTTCATCTTTCTTTCTCTGGTGCCGACCACCCAAAAACCTTACATTTGGTGCCGAAACCCGGGAAGGGTGTTTTGGCTGCCCCGGCCCATTCTGGGGCCTTTGCTGTGCCACCCCTTCGTGGACTCTCGCATTCCAGACCAGGACCTCTGCTGACTGCTTTCGAGTCCCTGATTGATGACCTCGGCCTGGGTGAATCACCCTGTGTTGTCTCAACCCGAATCCCCCAGTGGGAGTCTTTGTTCCCCCCCCACCGGATCCTGTTCTGGTCCGTTA